AGGTGGTCAAGCTCAGTAGTCTATTCTATTCTGTTCAGGTGGTCAAGATCAGTAGTCTATTCTATTCTGTTCAGGTGGTCAAGCTCCGTTATGTTTTTCTTTTTGAAGGGGTGCACACATGTGCACCCCTTCGCTTCATGTGTTTCGATGGTGATAGACTCGGAGGCTTCACCTTCATGTCCGAACGCATGGAGAAGAATGCGGATGCCTTGAGGATGGGTCGATGCTGAGAAGCATAGGGATAAGATGTAATGGTACTGTTGCGCACAAGAGGTGGATAAAAGAGACATAAAATCAAGGCCATCGCCATAAGGTTGGAGGTCATCACCTGGCTTAGCTTTTCCTGAGTTGGATCCAGGAGCTATATACACATATCCACCGGTTCTGGATCTTCTGCAAACGAAACCAAACACATTATATATTGAATTATATACCAGCACCCTCCTGGCCAGGCTGTTAGTTGAGGGTTGTTGGACCCTAACAGGTCTCAATTGGTGACCTGTTGGAGGGTGCTGGTATGATTCACCACGGTGCGACCCTTGGGCAGCCTTGGTCATTCCTGCGGACCTTCGGGGCATCTTTTCGATGTTGCAAGTGCCACTTCTCGAAGCGAACGGACTCACGTCAACAGCATCCCGGAACTATCAGACAAGTTCTTCACCTGTGTTGTCCCACCATGGGGGCATGGGTGCGAGAAGAGCGCTTCACCATGTGTTTCACCGCCAATCAGGTGCTGAACCTCGCCCGCCCGCCGGTGTTTCGCCCGCCCGAACAACCGACCGCCAGAGCCGCGGGCCGACCCTGGAGACCCTGTCGCGCATCGGCCGGGTCGGTTCCGCACACCGCACTTCCTTGGCCAGGAAGATGGTCCAGGCGGACCTGACCACCATCGCAGGCCGCTGCGAACTCATGACGGACGCCCTGCGCCGCCGCGCCGAGGCGCGGAGCGGAGCGGCGAAGGGGAAGGGGGGGCGAATGGTGGTGTGTGTGCTGCTTTACCGTTTGCCCAGAAAAGATTTTGCGTGTTTTTTTGTTGGGGGGGGTATGTAATGTATGTGTGTGTGGGTTTTTGGTATTGCTTTGCAGATCAAGGCCCTCCCTAGAACTTTCAAAAGGCTGATCTGAAGGAAGACGATGCTGGAGCTGTGAATTTGGGAAGAATGATGTGGCCCCAACTACTCGCAGGGTGTTCGGCATTGGTGGTACCAAATTGTACAACAACTAGCCCCTTTTATGGTCATTCTGAAGAAAGAAGGGTTCGAACACTGCGCAGTCCTTGGTGGTAGGGGTTCCCAAGTTCAGGCATTTGTTCAGGCATTTATTCCTTTTGAGCATGACTTGCCTACTTTTGCTCAAGGTGATTGTTTATTTTCCCTATTGGTGAATCCTCTTCTGGAGAATTTCCTGGTTCATCAAGCAAATCCAAGCTTGATGAATGTTCTTTTTTGGAAGTTCCTCAGGCAAAGGATTGGTAGAGAGGAGATGAGAGGAGTACAGTTTTTGTTCAGCGTGAGCAAGCATGGGGCAATCGTGATGCTTGCTCTCATGAAGCAGAAACTGGCCCAATCGTCTAATGGTTGATCAGCTCATGAAACACATGAAACCTATTCCTCAGCTCATGAAACCAGGAGATGTTCCTACTTGGCATGTAGGCAAAGAATTACTCCCTATTGACCAAACACCAGTACCAGTCGGCCACATTTGAGTTTTTTTCGTGAACCTTTGGGTTGGCGATTGGTTACGACCCCAGACCCCCTGACAATTCTTGGGGTCTCGCTCGGGGCTGGGCTGCTTTGTGCAACGCTCTCGCACCAGGCGGAGGCTGAACGAGGAGTTGCTCCCAGACAGGTGGGTGTTTCAGTGGATCGATTGGATGAGGATCACTGACCCGATCCATCGAACCCCCCAAAGCATCCCCGAACGCGGAGGGTGGATGTAGTCTCAGGCCGCCTGCAAATCAGACTCTGAATTCCCGCCATTTGGATCACAAGAGTTGCTTCACTTCCATCAGGGCTTGAGGGCATATCTCTGTGTAAAGCATCCAACTTGGGGTACCTATATAGCATGGTTTGACTTAAGGTGATTCTTTTATGTTCCCTACGCTGGACCTTCCAACTACCAGAAAATTGTTGTTTTTGTTTTGATCGTTTTGGTTGTTTTGTGATTGTGGATGTTTGAAGTTGTTTGCACGTTTTCTGCGTGTGTGTTGGGCTAATTTGTGGGTCGTTTTGCTGTTTGCGCTGATGTGCGGCAGTTTGCACGGAAGGTTCTTGCATTGTCAATCACCCAAAAAGAATTGCTTATAGTCGTTGGACCATCCAGCATAGGGAGGCTTTTCCCCAAATAGGTTTGGGCCCCTTTTCCCGGTTCGTCGCTCAAATGCAAGAGAACCTGTGTGGCACCCTGCCAGAGTTTCTCACCTTCAGGGACTTCTCGAGGGATCCTCAGATGGTGACCAGCTACATGAGCTGCGAGGCGCACGGTGCTTGTCGTTTCGGAGCGGCACCGAGGTGCGGAGCGCGTTCTACTCGGTCCATATCTGGTGTTCATGGAGGATTTGTTAATGTTCAGACTTACATCAGATGTCAGACACTGTAAAGAGTTGTTTTCAGCCCAGATTCCCCGAGGAATTTATAGGAATTTATATGGAATATCATGGAACCATTTGACCTCTATTTTGGAGCACCATGGACCACCAACCACCCCAAACACAGCTTGGTCCGACTTCCTATCAAAACAGAGGTCATGTTTGCTCTAGGTCACTCCAACTGAAGTCTCCTGAACTTCTTCAAGCTTCAACCTCTCAACAAACCGCGTTCTATCAAAACAGTCTCACTGTACCTCTTCATACCTCTTCATACTCCTAGAACGGCCCACATCCGAAAAGAAGGTAGGGACTGGCCCCCTGGCACCCACTCCAATCACCTTCTGAGCATGCGGTTGGAGCCCGAGGACCCTAAAAAAAACCACCCCAAACACTACGAGAACGCCCTCCGCCACGCGCCACGCGCCACGCGAACGCCACCCGCCACACGCGCCACACGCGCGAACGCCAGTGACCCTGGATGGTGGCGTGCAGTTCTTGGCCGATCGATTGCTCGTCCTGCACCGGGAACTCATGGAGGCCTGTGGAGGGAAAGCGGTTGAAAAGCGACCAGACTGCACAGCGGGTGGGTTTGGTGATGTTTGGTGGCTGCCAGGGGGGTGGTGGTGGCCCTAGAGCCTGAGTGACCTCTATTTTGGAGGATCAACTATCCAAAAGATTGTCTTTTCCTGTCAAAACCAAGGTCACTCAGGCTCCAAAAAGGGCGATCTCTTGGTGAGATCGCGGCGTTGGTCATCACGGGTGGTCGTTAAAAGCAGGTCGTTCAATGGTGGGCATCACGGGATCACCAGGTGCTTCAGTGGTGTGTGTGTTGGCTGAACGCTTCGTCCATGGGTTGGTTGATTAGAGGGGAAGAGGCGAATCAATGCACATTGAACGCAGCTGAAAAGCAAAACAAATGGTCAACTTTTGATGATCATTGACTGATATTTGCAAAAAAAAGGGATTGTGTTTGTTCGTCATTGATTGAGCCCGTCGGGCGCTGCCTCATTTTTCTTTGGCAACCGGACTCCATGTATTTATATATACATTGGTGCCAGGATGTTTTCAGAGGTCAATGGCACATCTATTCCAGTCCCATGTAGTGTTTGGGAGTCGAGACTCAACAAGCATTGCTTGCAGGGCATTGCTTGCAGTTGCCGGAGAGGGGACGCAGATGTGGCAAAACAACAACACCATGTTCCTGTAATAAACCCATACCTGTCTGGGACTGGAATGTGCCTAACTTGGGGTGGTTGACCTGGGGCCAATGATGGTCATTGTAGGCATATATTATATAATATATATATATATATTCTCTGTCTTCAAAGACCATTCAAAGACTGGTTGGTTCTGGTTCTGCTATAGCGTAAAATCCTTCGTAAAAAAACCGAACAGTTCCGGCTTGTTGTGGGGAGACTTCCGCCTATGGAAGTACCGGGGCCAGGCATCCAACGCCTCCCAACGCCTCCCATCCGATCCCAAAGCCGTCCGACGCAGATCTACAGCGCCATCTCGCTCAAGGAGGTGAAC